ATACCAGTGGTCTCTCTCTCACCTGCATGCTGTTTTTCCTCATTTCGGTGAGTCAGAGAGAACATGAAAAGGTGGGGAGTTTGGGACACTGGGACATAGCCTTCCCAATGACCTTGTTTCCCCATTCCCCCACCCCCACCCCCCCAGGTTATCTATAAGAAGTTCCAACTTGGCTGTGTCATGAGTCACAACAAGACAGCATTAGAGGGTGAAGATCCCCTGGATCTCTCCATCCAGGGGCTCAACAGCAGCTGTGTAGCCCAGATGTTCACAGTTGACTCACAGGTAGGCATGCAGGCAAGTAGGAGCTCGCACCACATGGAGACCCTCTGGTTCCATCCCACGCTGCATCTTACTCAGGGTACAGCTCGTTATTGGGCCTTGCAGGCTGCCATGCATCTGCTATTGAGGGCAATAGAAGGGCCAGGAGGGCGGCCCCCTTGTGGGTTCTAATCCCATGTACTTGGATTGTCCCCCCCAGATGTCCTACACAGTGCCCATTATGGCTTTTGCCTTTGTCTGCCACCCTGAGGTGCTACCCATCTACACAGAGCTCTGCCGGTGAGTGGGCAGGCCAGTGGGCATGCGTGATGGGCCAGCTAGTCATTAGGTCTGACGGTCCCCATAGCAGCTCTGGGACTGAAACTTGAGGGTGGCTATGTTGTGACAAGGGAGAGGCTAGGGGTGGTCATGAAACCTCAGGGGACCAAGGGCAGTGCTGTTTGCTGATAGCACTTAAGTAGTCTACTTTAACACCCAGTATCAGTGTGAATGGACAGAGGTCAGATGATCAGATGGAGGGGGTGGAGGTCTGCATGGATGGGGCTGGGGAGACAAGGATGGTGGACAGAGGGGAGCAAGGATAGTGCAATGCAGGGATGTGTGGGTGATCAGCATGGGTGGTCAGCTGGAAGGGAGAAACGGGGTGCTCAGATGGAGTGAGAGGTAGATGGGCAGAGACAGCACCCCAGTGGGTATCAGTCTAGGACCAGGGGACTCTGGATGGTGGGGCTGGGCTTAAGGGGCCTTGGGTCAAGTTCAGGGGTCTAGCATGACAGTTTCATGACCTGTGTACCACAGACCCTCCCAGCACAGGATGCAGGCAGTGGCCAATGTGTCCATCGGTGCCATGTTCTTCATGTACGGGCTCACAGCCACATTTGGATACCTCACCTTCTACAGTGAGTGCGGCTGGGCCCGGGCTGGGGCAGGAGCCTCTGAACTCTTGCCCTCCAGGACGTTGGGCCCATCAGTTTCAAAGGGACGGTGCTCACTGAGTGTGTAGAAGATTTGTGTCAGTGTACATGGGTGTGGGTTTTTGGGGCATTGGTTCTGGTGCTCCTGTCACATCCTGCATCCTGTGTCCCCTGTCCCATGGCCAGGCAGTGTGGAGGCAGAGATGCTGCACATGTACAGCCAGGAGGACCTGCTCATCCTCTGTGTGCGCCTGGCCGTGCTGCTCGCGGTGACCCTCACTGTGCCAGTCGTGCTATTCCCTGTGAGTGGGGCGAGGAGGGCCCAGTGAGCAGAGGGACTGTGGGTGGCTGAATAGAAGGATATTTGGATGGAGGGTGATGGTACAAGTAGCTGGCTGGCTGGAGGAGGCAGGAAGAGTCATACAGGCAAGGCAGAGCTGTGCAATGGACAGAGAAGGCAAAAATGGTTGAGCAGACAGAAGGGGGGACATAGATGGCAGGACAGAGAGGCTCAGGGGAGACCGGGGTGGTCAGCTGGAAGGAGGCACAGATGGATGGCTAGACAGAGGGGGGAGGCAGGAGTGGTCAGTTGGAGGGAGAAACACAGATAGAATGAAGGCATGGGATGAAACTGGATGTGGTGTACATGCCTGAAACCCCAGCACTTGGGAGGCTGAAGCAGGAGGATCTTGGGTTTGAGGCCAGCTGCAGCTACACAGCAAGAAACCTTGTCTCAAAAAATCAAGAGCTGAGTGAGGATGAGGGGGGGATTATGATTGAAGTGCTTTATATTAATAGAGTAATGAAACCCATTGAAATTAGTGTGGGAGGATAAGAAAGCAATAGAGGGGTGAATTTGACCAAAGTACATTTATATGCATGCATGGAAATATCACAAGAAACCCCTTTGTATAGTTAATACATGTTAATGAAGAATGACACAGAAAAATATTTCTGTAGGGTACACAAAATAATATGATGACACACTTTCTTTTATTCCCTGCAATTTTATGAAACATACATAAAGCAACATTATAGCAGATTAACTTTCTTATAGGAGATTAAACTCTCATTAAGATATTTTTAATATTCTATGAAAATTATATTTATATATATTTTGGTGGTAATGAGATTTGAACTCAGGGCCTTATGCTTGCTAGGCAGGCACACTACCACTTGAGCCACTCTACCAGCCCACTCTATGAGAAATATTTTAATGCAAAGAAGTACAATTTCCTCATTTATTTTTACTATAAATCCTTTTTTTTTTTTTTTTAGTGGGACTGTGGTTTGAACTCAGGGCCTCATGCTTGCTAGGCAGGTGCTCTACCACCTAAAGCACACACCAGTTCTACAAATCCATTTTTTAAAGATCATTTTCATTAAAATATCTTCAATTTCTTAACCAAACATGCTGGGATGCTGGGATGTAGCTCTATGGTACAGGGCTTGCCTAGCATGCATACAGCCCTGGATTCGATCCCCAGCACTACACACACACACACACACACACACACACACACAAGGCAAAGAAAAGAATTGGGTGGACAGAGAACAGATGGAGGCAGAAGTGGGAAGGGAAGGATGAGGCTCTCAGATGGAGAGGTGGGAATGACTTTGACAGGAGGGAGGCAGAGGTAGTCAGATGGAGAGAGAGGCGAGCATTTCAGACTGGGGAGAAGGACAGGCGATCATCAGATGAGGAGGCAAAGGTGTGTAGAGAAAGGACGCAAGGTTTTAGACAGTGATGGAAACCCAGGTGGAAGTTCATTCAGAAGGTGGAGGCACAGGGGGATGCCTGCCATAGCAGGCAGGGGAAGCAGGGATCTCAGACGTAGTGTGGTCACTTGCAAGAGAGGCCGCGTGTGAGTCCTGACCCCTGTCCTGCCCTTCCCTGGCCACAGATCCGCCGGGCCCTGCAACAGCTGCTCTTCCCAAGCAAGGCCTTCAGCTGGCCACGGCACGTGGCCATAGCCCTGATCCTGCTGGTTTTGGTCAATGTACTTGTCATCTGTGTGCCAACAATCCGGGATATCTTTGGGGTTATTGGTCAGTATCTTCAATCCCAGTCCCCTGACCCACCTCATGTGGATCTTGCACACAAACTTAGGTTGTACTCCTGCACCTCCTTCTTGTCCTCCAGGGTCCACCTCAGCCCCGAGCCTCATCTTCATCCTCCCCAGCATCTTCTACCTCCGTATTGTACCGTCTGAGGTGCAACCCCTCTTCTCCTGGCCCAAGATCCAGGTGAGCATCCCAGGGGAGAGGCTGGGAAAAGCAGCAGCATTCTGAGAGATGCTTGTGTCACACAGTTGGGGATGGCAGGGCATCTCAGGAAGGGGTGGCGGAGGAGAGAACCTCCAGGAAGAGGGACAGATGGTGTGGAAGAATGAAGGTGATTGTTGTAAGAAGAGGCAGAGCAGACAGAGCACAAGCAGTGCCGGGGAAGACAGAGGGAGCCCTTTAGAAGGGGCAGGCAGGCTGGAGGTGTGACTCAGGGGCATGCATGAGGCTCTGGGTCCCATCTCCAACACTGCAAAAAGGGGGAAGCAGTTGACAGAGGGAGGATTCTTCAGACAGATGGAGGGAGCACTATGGGGAAGAGACGTGGAAGCATTTTGAAAGAGGAGGATGGAAGGGAGTACTTCCTGAAGGGGTCTGGGAAGATGGGAAATATGCACAGGAAGGTACTGGCTTTAAAGTAAGGAGAGGGAGAGCTGGGCGCAGTGGCTCATGGCTGTAATCCCAGATACTTGGGAGGCGAAGGTAGGAGGATTACAGTTTAAAACTGTCCAAGGCCAAAACAAAAGTTAGTGAGATTCTGTCTCAAACAGTCTAGGCGTGGTGGTGCATGCCTATAATCTCAACTGCAGGGGAGGCATAGGCAGGAGGTTCAAGGTCCAAGACCAGGCCAGGCAAAAAGCACAAAACTCTACCTAAAAAACAGCTAAAAGCAAAAAGGGCTGGGTGATGTGGTTCCAGTGGCAGAGCACTTGTCATAGCACAAGGCCCTGAGTTCAAACCCCAGTACCGATAAAAATAAATAAATAAAAGGAGGGAGGGGGAGCATAGAGGAGCATGAGGAATGTACCGGACATTCTCTGGAAGGGGTGGGGGGGCTTCAGGAACATTCTCAGGAACAGCTTTGGTGGGGAGTCTGACAGCCAGCCCATCTTCTCTCACCCACAGGCCCTGTGTTTTGGCACTCTGGGGGTCCTCTTCATGGCCATCAGTCTGGGTTTTATGTTTGCCAACTGGGCCACAGGCCGGAGCCACATGTCTGGACATTGATGTGGCCTACCTCACCCTGCTCGGTCCCTATGCACACGTTCATGTGCCTGTTTGGGGAGTCAGGGCCGCTGTCCCAAGACCCTCCTGCCTGGTGTGTGGAGGTGGCTGTCTGAGGAGGGGGACAGCAGAGGCTGCAGAGTGGTCCACATTCCCTTCTCCCCATGATTTCGAGCTTGGATCTTGGCCCTACACCCAACCCCAGGCGCATGGGATGAGGGGCAGGCCAGCCCTTGGGAGCGCCTTGCCCAGCCCAGTCCTCACTGCCTCTTCCTAGCTGAAGTTGTCAGGTTTACCCCTGGGCTAAAGGCAAAGAATAAAGATGTTGAATGATAACTGTGGCCTCAGTCTTCTGATTCAAAGACTTCCTGGGGAACCTGCCTAGGGGTAGGCAGAGGTAAACTAAGGCCCAGAGTAGAACTGTGCTTACTCTTCTCTTATGTGTTCACTCATTTCTCTACTCCTTCACTGACTTGGAACTGAATCACTGCACTCACTTACTGAACAACTGTGGACATGTCAGGTGGAGGATACAGCAGTGAATGTTCTAGGCGCTGGAGACACAGCAGTAACTCAAGCAGACAATGACTTCCCAGCACAAGTGTGGGAAATCTGGCCCACAGCCCAAATTCAGCCATCTATTTTTGTATGGCTCTTGAGCTAAGAATGTTATTTCTGAACGTTTGAACAAAATCAGAAGAAGAATAGTATTTTTGCGACCCCTGAAATGACACAAAGCTCAGATTTCGGTGTCTGTAAATTTTTACTAGAGTGCAGTGAAGCTTGTTCATGTACATACGTTCATGGCTCTGTGGAGCTGAGGGGTTGCTATGGAGGCCATATGGTCTGCAAAGCCTAAGCTATTTACTTTCTGGCTCTTTCAGAAAAAGTTGGTTGACCCCTGATTTAGCAGAAGAGAGGAAAAGAGATGCTTTCTGATAAAGTTGAGCCCTATGAAGCAAATGAGTAATGTGAGTTAGATGTAGGGAGGTGCTGGATGAGGAGCCAGTTAATTTAGGAGGCCTCATTGAGGAGGGGACAAGGAGTGGGGTCCTAAATTGATTAGAAGAAGCAAGCCACGTGGTTATCTTGGCAAAGAGTGGGCCAGGCAGAGGGAGCAGCAAGTGCAAAGACCCTGAGGTAGGAATGAATGTAGCAGGTTCATTTTCATTTCCTTATTTTTGTCGTGGGGATTGAGTCTAGGGCTTGACACATGCTAAGTGAGCACTCTACCACTGAACTACAGTCCCAGCCTTCCAGACAATTTTTAAGCATATAAAAGTCATTATGGATACAAAATATTTTCCCCCCTTGCTATTTTTTTTTTTGAGACAGGGTTCATACTGTGTTGCCTAGACTGGTCTTTTTTATCTTTTCTTTTTTTTTTTTGTGGTACTGGGGCTTGAATTTAGGACCTTCACCTTGAGCCACTCCATCATCCCCACTTTTTTTTGTGATGGGTTTTTTTGAGATAGGGTCTCGTGAACTATTTACCTGGGCTGGCTTCGAACCACAATCCTCCTGATCTCTGCCTCCTGAGTAGCTAGGATTATAGGTGTGAGCCACTGGTGCCTGGCTTTTCTTTTTTGTTTTTGATGGTACTGGGGTTTGAACTCAGGGCCTCACACTTGCTAGGCAGGCACTCTTACCACTTGAGCCATTCCAGCAGCTCTGTTTTGTTTTGTGTGTGTGTGTGTGTGTGTGTGTGTGTGTGTGTGTGTGTGTATGTGTGTGTGTTGTATATTTTCGAGATAGGGTCACCTATCTCAAGATAGGCCACCAACATAACATTTCTCCAGCCTTGTTTCTTTCTTTTTCTTTTTTTTTTTAATTTTTATTGTTTTATTATTCATATGTGCATTCATTTCTCCCCCTGCCTTGTTTCTTTCTTTCTTTCTTTCTTTTTTTTTGGCTACACTACGGTTTGAACTCAGGGCATCACGCTTGCCAGGCAGGTGCTCTACCATTTTGAGTCATTCTGCCAGCCCTTTTATTGTGATGGGTTTTTTTTTGAGATAGTGTCTCATGAACTATTTGCCTGGGCTGGCTTTGAACTTTAATCCTCTTGATCTCTGCTTTGTGAGTAGCTAGAATTACAGACGTGAGCTAGACTGGCCTTAAATTGCTGGACTCCAACAGTCCTCCTGCCTCAGCCTCTCAAGTACCTGGGACTACAGGTGCACCACCGTGCTGACTTTCCCTTCTTATTTTCAAACAAGCAGTGGTCAGATGATTAAAACTGCATGCTCCATAGCCAGGCGAAATTAAAGTGACTGATTAAAATGGGAGATGATCTTGGATTACCTTGGTGGGACCAATGTCATCACGAGGGTCTTTTTGTTTGGTGGGACTGAGTTTTGAACTCAAGGCTTTGCACCTGCAAAACAGGCCTTCTACCACTTGAGCCACTCCTCCAGCCCCTCACAAGAGTCTTTGTAAAAGGGAAGCAGATGAGACGGTCAGAGAGAGAAATGGGGTGAGAGAAAGGCCGGAGGCTGGGTGCTGGTGGCTCACGCCTATAATCCTAGCTACTTAGGAGGCAGAGATCAGGAGGATCAAAGTTCAAAGCCAGCCTGGGCAAATAGTTCAGGAGACCCTATCTCAAAAAACCCTTCACAAAAAAATAGGGCTGGTAGAGTGACTCAAGTGATAGAGCACCTGCTTAGCAAGCATAAGGCTCTGAGTTCAAACTCCACTGTAGCCAAAAAAACAAAAAAAAGAAACAAGGCTGGAGAAATGTTATGTTGGTGGCTTTGAAGATGGAGGAAGGGACCCATGAGCCAAGGAATGCGGGTGGCCTTGGAAGCTGGAAAGACCAGGAAATGGCCTCTCTAGAGCTTTGGAATGGAACACAGCCCTGCAAACACATTGCTTTTAGCCTGCTGAAACTTGTGTTGGATTTCTGATCTCCAGAAATATAAGATAATACATATGTGACAATTTGTTATCCTAGCAATGGAAACAAGTACACATAGGAACAGATTGGTTAGTGAAATAAAATAGAAAGTCAAGATACAATGCAATCTACATGCAAAAGGCACATGTAAAGCCCTGCTGTATGGATCTCAGCTATTGTTATTAGTAATGACTTAAAATGTCATTAAAATGTAAAGGCACCTCTGTTTCCGTATGAAGATGGGGAACCAGCAACAAGGAGCTGTTGACTTCCTTCCCAAGCCCACCTCTTCAGATGCTACAGAAGAAGTGAGGAGATAGCAGATTTTGGAACACTTCCCAGAAACAACACTCCTGAGGGTTTGGGCTCTATGGGGTATGAGATGGCCCAAAGTGAGGAAAGTACAGAGGCCATGGATGGAAGATCAGCTGAAGCAGAGTTTTCTTAATTGTACAATTTTCTCTCAAGTGTTCTGGAAGGTTTTTGTAAACATCAGTGGACAGAAACTTGGTAGGGCTGCCCTGGTGCCAGCCCAAAGCAACATGGTAACATTAAGGCATAAAGGGTTGGGGAAGGCCAGTTGTGGTTGTACATGCCTGTAATTCCAGCTATTCAGGAGGATTGCAGTTTCAGGATCATAGTTCTAGGTGAGCCCTGGCAAAAAAGTGAGACCCTATCTCAAAAACAAACAACTAACAAAACAAGCCAGAAGTGGTGACATGTGCCTATAATCCTAGCTACTTAGGAGGCAGGGATTGGAGGATTACAGTCAGAGGCTGGCCTGGGCAAAACCACAAGACCCTATCTAAAAAAACAAGTTAAAGTGAAAATAGCTGGGAGTGTGGCTCAAGTGTTAGAGCACTTGCCTAGCAAGTGTGAGGCCCTGAGTTCAAATCCCAGTACTGCAAACCAAATGAAAACCAAAACCAAACCAAACCAAACAAAAAAACTACAGTGGGGTTGGAAAGCTCACAGAAAGTACAGTCCCATCAAGGGACCCTGTCTCAAAAATAATACAAACAAGCTGGGAGCTGGTGACTCATGCCTGTAATCCTAGTTACTCAGGAGGCAGAGATCAGGAAGATCATGTTTCAAAGCCAGCTGGGGCAAGTAGTTCATCAGACCCTATCTCAAAAATACCTAATACAAAAAAGGTCTAGCTGAGTGGCTTAAGTACTCAGTGGTAGAGCATCTGCCTAGCAAGGGTGAGGCCCCAAGTTCAAGTCCCAGTACTAAAAAAAAAGTCATGAGGAATGGACAGACATGGAGTGAATGTAGGAAAATTTAATTTAATAAGGGGGATAGAAGTATAAATGTCAAAAAAAATGGAATAGTAGCCTTATAAGAACAGGATGCAGTAATTTAAGAGGAGTGAATACCTAAATCGTAAGTGAGATTTTCTCAAAATTAGGCAAACACTTTCAGGTCTAAAGGGATCATAGGATGCTGATCAGGCTGATACACATCTACACACTCCTACACACAGTGAAATTTATGATTATGAAAAATAAGGAAAAAATGTTTTTTGTGTTACTAGGGTTTGAACTCAGGACCTCATGCTTCTTAGACAGGCAGTCTACCACTTGAGCCACTCCACCTGCCCTTTTTTGTAATAGGTATTTTTGAGGTAGGGTCTCAAGAACTATTTGCTCAGGGGCTTTAAACCATGATCCTCCAGATCTCTGCCTCTTGAGTAGCTAGGATTACAGGTGTGAGCCACTGGCGCCAAGCAACAAAAATTATGTATAAAACTTCCAGAGAGGACTGTAGGTGTAGCACAGTGGTAGAGTCTGTGCCTAGAATGTGCAAGGGCCTGGGTTCCATCCCCTGCACCAAACAAAACAAAACAAAACTTCCAGAGAGAAATAGCAAGTTACTTACACTAATGTCAGACCTCAAAAATACCACACTGGTGAGGTGTTCAAAGAAAGGAACTCTTTTTTTGGCGCTGCTCTGGTTTGAACTCAGGGCTTCTCACTTGCAAAGCAGGCACTTCACTGCTTAAGCCACACCTCCAGTTCATTTTGCTCTGCTTGTTTTGGAGATGGGGTATTGCAAACTATTTGCCCCAGCTGTCCTCAAACTGTGGTCCTCTTGATCTTAGCCT